AAATATTTTGAAAAAGTGTTTGATGTGAATAAAATGATTATTAATCCATTTGTAAATATCTATGAAAGAACTAAATTAGTTCTAAACAATTTATAATAATCATCTTTCTTTGTAAAGGCATTGCGATGTTGTTTTTCCTCATGCCCTTTATTTTTTAACTCTTTGATAATGTTATTGTATGCAACATTTATATCTTCTTTCTCAATGACATTAATCTTAATGGTTGCTTTATCATCTTCCTCAATTACCAGTACACCATTCAGATTTCTAGTATTAGTATTATCTCCTTTTGTACCCCATGAAACATCATGAGTATTACAAAAAGCATAAATCATAAGAATATTAACGTAAGAAAGAACAAGTAAAATGTATTGAATTAAGCAGATGAACATGTGCCATGGTTCACAATAAATAAAGGATGAAAAAAGATATAGCAAATAAGTTAAAGCAGCAGAGATTACTATGTCACGGAATGCTGCATTCTTTAAAGCTTCTTGAATACTTGAAATGCTCTTAAAATCTATTGTTGGTACTGCTTTAAATACAGTGAGATACATAATGTAAATTGAACAGTAAAGCATAAATGCCATGATAATTGCAAAGAGAACCATACAGAGTGTGTATATCAATTTTGTTCCTTGAGTGCGATTACCCATTGAACAAATAAAAATTATTACAATGATTATTAAATATAATAATCGTGTAGCATCTAATAATTTATCTCTATAGCCTTTAAAAGGATCAGTTGCAGGATTTGAAGTTGTGGATTGAAATAAGAAAAAAAATACCAAGTAAAAATTTGACTAATTTAAGTAAAAATAAAAAAAATTAAATAAATAACATAAATAGATACTGATCTTTGACTAAGAAATTAACAAATATAGGTCTTCTCTCAGACCCAAGTATTTGGAAACCCCTGTGTATATTTTTATGTACCCTTGCATAATCAGGCATAAAATATTATGAATAATTATACATATTTTATTATCAGTTTTATAATATTTAAGATGTCATATTTACCAAAGAGAACCAATTAAAGATTAATTGTATACTATTATAAATGAATTGAATTTGTAATAATATCTTGCGATAAAGTGGCTGTCCAGAGCTCCAAATTTGAGTAAATTTGACAATAGAATAGAAAGCAGTAAAAAAAGATCCATTCAACCAGCGACGACGTTGGGAAATAAATTCAAGCACATTTTCTGGAACATCAGTTTCTGCTTTAGCTGACTGAACAAATAATGAGTTAAAAATTTGCAAATATTAGCACA